TGATTTTGATAATGGTTAACAATATTACTATTTATTAATTAAATTTATTAGGATTGTTAATACTTTTTTTTCATTTAATGAAAAAATTAATTTTTGTAATTTTTAGATTTTATAGGAATAAATTTTTTACTTTTTTTATTTGACTCTTTATTTTATTTTAAAAAATAAATCAACTTTCAAATTCCTCTAATTAATGTATCTATCTAGAAGCTGTCTGCTTTTAAAAGTTCAAATTTAGTAACTTCAAAATTCTCTAATTAACTAATCAATCGAAAATTCGAATTTTTCAATAAACAATTAATCTTATTCAGAAAGTTTTGACATACCCAAAATTAAAAATAATAAAAATAATCTCAATTGATTATTCATTTTATCCGAACTTGATATTAAATCATGTTTAAGAAACTTATTATTTATGTTTTTATATTTAAACAATTTTTTTTAAAATAAAAGAAAAAACAATAAAACAAAAAAATAAAAGTCGATATTTTTAATAAGGATAAAATGAGTGGAACAATAAAATATATTTCTAAATATGTTGAAAATTGCATTAAAAGCCGTTGATAGATCAACTGATAAGATTCAATGGACCAATTTTATGTCTATTTTTCAATTTAAGAAACTCAACAGGAATATTCTATCAACCATCGATTAAAAAATCCCAGATCTAATGGAACAGGTTAGGTAATTGAGTTAAAGAAAAATGAAAACAAAAAACAAAAAAAGACAAAAATATAAAATAAGAAATAGTTTGTAAAATAAAATTATTTCAGAATTGGATGTAAATTATATTCTTGTTATTCTTTCAACTATTGAAACTGTGTTCAGCTTTTTAGTAATTATTTTATTATTCTTTTTTCTTAATACAAATGGCTGTTGATTTAATTTATATTAAAAATGTTAACACACTTTTGATAAAATATTGTTTTTAAAAAATCGAACAATTTTAATTTTTTTATATGTATTCCAACACTAGGGTAAAAATTGAATGTTGTAAAAGATGGGTTTCAACAATTTTAGAGATAAAAAAAGAGTTTGTGTACATTTATTCAAATTTTTATTAATAGTTAACGAAACAACAGATTGATCTTTGAGCTCAAAGGGATTATCAGAATAAAATATTTTGGTAAATATCAATAAATTGTTTTTTAAAAAAATCATTATTTTAAAAAATTAAAAGATTGCTTTTAACAAACGATTTTTAGATTAAAATTAATATTATTCTATTAAGATAATCGGGTATTATATATAATTTTAGGGACAATTTGGGTAATTGCATATAACTCTTTATTTATCTTGAAAATTGTAAAAAATTAATTTTTTAAAACACTCATATTTACATAGTGTATGTATCCGTAAAAAAATATTAAAAATAAATTAAAATTAAAAAAATCTTATAAAAATAAACAATATTTATTTAGATAAATCAAATATATACAGTCAGTTTCACTTTTAAAAAACAAACTTTTAATGAAATTTAAGGCGGAAAAAAATCTCAAATTATGGCACGATTTTTGGTGAAATATTTTTATTCGAATTATATTATGAGAAATAAAAATATATTCCGTTATTGTAATTTTTTTGAAGTGTCGTAAACTTTGTTCAAATATTATGCCTCGAACGCGGGATTCACGGTAATAATTGAATATTAGTATTTTTTCGGCAAATTATAAAGTGAAAAATCTTTTTTTATATGACTATATTTAAATGGTATTTTTATTTTGAGATAGATTTTAGAGCTATTTATTTTTTTTTAAAACAGAAACTTTTTCTTTGTGAAATTTTAAATAATAATTCTTTATAACTAACGATAAGAAAGAGATTAGATTAACGAAAAGTCTAATATAGCATTGTAGTTGCTGTCGAAAGATTTTGAGAATTCCTTGTATTATTATGAAACATTTGAAATTTTTATGATCTAATTATATTTAATTCTAAAAAAGTAATTTAAGGGTAGAGTCATTACGGTGAAATTTTTTATTCTGAAATGGAAAAAAACTTTTTAGTAATTTTATTGAGGACCTAACACCAATCAAAAACCAACCAACCTATGATGTTTGATCGATCTCCAAAAATCAACAACTAAAAATGAGGACATTTTTAGAAAAAAGCGCCAAACAGCGACACTCAATTTCCAAGTAGAATGTTCGTGAATTACAATTCTGAAAACAACTATGTCAGTTTTGAAGTGTCTCTCTTTGGCGCTTTTTGAGATCTTGGTGACTTTTTTTTTCTTTTTTCAAATGAGTTATTTTTATTGAAAGACTATTACCTAATCCTTACTTGGTCAAATTTAGAGGGTTTTAAAATAACCACAAATCAGACTAAATCGAATAAAATTGATTGCGAAATACAAGAAATCAATTTGTTTTAAATTAAAGAAATTTAACCTCTTTTGAAAAAGAAAATGAGAAAAGATGAATTTTTTTTTTTAAATTTTGATTATTGAAATTGAGAACTCTTTTTCTTCGTTGAATTTTTTGTCAAAGAGATCCTATGGAATTTTTTTTTTTGTTATTTGAATTTTGTCAACCAAAAGATGGCCTATTTCACAATACCCTTTTTGGTCTCAGGTCACCCCTTGAGTATGGTGCCTTTTCACGCTAAATGACTAGACCCAAAAGATATATTTTACCAATAAAATTGTCTGTAAATATGATATTTAAAGTTAGTTTCGAAGAGTTTTAAAAAAATTTAGTACGTTGTTTAATTATTAACACTGAGATTTGACAATGTCTCAATTTAAAACCAATTGAACATAATTTTTGGTCCAAGGATTCAAATTACATGTTCCAGAAAAACTAAAAAAAAGTACTAATAATTTGGGAAAGTTTGGGAAAGGAATAAGTTCCATTTCTTTATTGAAAACAATGTCTATTTACAAACTTTGTTTTTTTCTCTTTTCAAAAAAAAAATCAATATCATTTTTTAAAAAAAAAATTTTATTTGGTTTCTTTTTTCTTTTAAAATAAGAGAGAAGAAATCATTTATGAAAGATTTTAAAAGTAGAAATAAAAATAAATTATCATTTAAGAAAAAAAAAAATAAAAAAAAAGAAACATTTTTTTTTACTCTGTCAAGTAAAGAAATTTTGGAGAGGGATGTTCAAAATCACTTCATAGTCAAGAACACCAAAGAGATACATGCAGATTTTTAAGTTTGATCGTTTTCGAGAATTGGCTGACAAAAGGAAAATAAAAGCGGAGATAGATCTCATTGTATGGATGAACGATCTAGTTTATCTCTATTAAATTTAAACCAAGTTTTGTTACCGATGATGAAAATGTAAAATTTAACTTCAATGTTTTCAATTGTTACATTGGTATCAAAAGATCCTTTGAAGATTAAGTTCTTCAAAGTACTATTAAAAAAATAGCATATTAGTTTTTTTTGGTTTAGTTGATTTGTTTGTTTTTTTTTGTTTCGATAAGTTAGATCCCGAGTTGAAAAAATAAATAACAACTCATATTGTTTCATTTGTTCAAAAATCACCTTTTATAATTTTTCCTTTTGGTTCTCCTTCCAGACTCAAAATAATGAGATCGTTCTGGTGCTAATATGATATTAATCGTCGTTCTTTGAACTCCTAAATATCATCTTATGTCATTTGAACAATATCATTTTTTTCATTCTTCCAGGCCAAACTCAGATTATAACGAAGAGATTGTTTCCAAATCAAAACAATTAATATATAGATTTCTTCAAAATAAACATCTTTGGCATATATTTTTAATTTCTAAATTCATCCAATAATTCAAACAAAAAAGAACCAGATCTTTTGACTCGAAATTTAATTACAGTTGATACAGTAAAACGTACAAAAAAATTTACTCCAGGTTTCAAAATAAAAAAAAGTGTTTGTTTGTTATAAAAGACCTATAAATCAACCAATCAAAGAAACCAGTAATAAAGACTACTTAAATATGGTATTGTAATATTAAAGTACTATTATTTAAAAAGAAATACAGAATATCAAGGATCAAATTGGAAAATTTATCTTAAAAAATACAGTAAATTTTTTTGGATAAACTTTTTATCATATCAAAAAAACCAAAAAAATTCAAAAAAAATAGAGAATATTATGAATAATTTTCAACTTATTGCATTCCTAATTTAAAGTTTACTGATAATATCAAGGATGTTTACTTTCAAAATTGATTTGAACTTAGGTATACGATGGGTAGTAAATTGGATGTTGGATTGTAACAAGAAGAAAAAAAAGTATGGATAATATTTTGAAACATGGATTATAGCCGTGCACATATTATTATTATCACTGTCGGAAAAAATGTGTTCTTGTGAAAATATTACTATATATCTCTAAAGTTGATAAATGGAGTTTCTTATTGGGTTTCATTGTATCCTTATATGAATAATTACTTATGTGCCTTTGTGAAAAAAAAATAAATATGAGTTACTCGTCCCTTAAATTAATATTTTTATTTGAAAGCTACAAAAACAAAACAGTTTTCCTAATTATTCTAAAGATTGTTTTTAGTTACTTTTACAAGTTTGAAATACTATTCAAATTTGAATTTGTATTTGAAAATGTGTTGAAATCATTTATTTTTGAAATTTTCAACCAAAAATCTATTTAAAAATTTTTTTTTAATGTTTTAATTGATTTTAACTTGGAAATGAGTATTTTTTTTTAATCCCATTTCATCAGAATAAAAATCCTTTTTGAACAGTGAAAACAAAACAACACAAAAACGAAACATCCATCATATTGTACCGTAATACTTAGTGAAACAAATATTGAAGTATTGAAAAAAGGATTAATCCTTTGAAAATTTGATCTCATTTTATGATAAACATGATTATTTAAAATGTCTTCATTTTATAAAAATAAGACTGAAGTCAGAAGAACTTCATAGAAGATTATTTCACAACTTTTTAGATAGGGTATATCAATAAATTCAAAAAAAAATACGATTCCTATATTGTCTACTGAAAGGAAAGGATTTGCCTTTCTCTATCGTAAAAAAAAAAAAGATAATCACATCCTGAAAGAATTGAACTTCCGACCTTTTCGAATTTAATTCGTCTTTTTATCGACGAGTCAAAGATTTTAGTATGAAATACTCTACCATGCTGAGCTAAGGATGTTATTATACAAATTAAAAAAATAAATTATTAATTTATTTTAGTTGATATAAATTTCTCACTTTTAAGCAACTTAAATTAATTTTTAAATTGTCCAAATTGCAGAGAAAGTTTTATACTTACTTTTTTCAATTAAAAGTATTTTGATTATTGTCTATTCGAAGAAAAAAATACTTTACAAATGAGAGTAAACCAAAAACATATTCTCAGAAATAAAAGTTTTTGTTTTTAATAAAAACTGAAATTTTTTTTATTCTTGTAATGAAAATAGATCTAGTATGACTACCAGACAGTAAACGTATAAGTTCAAATCGTTTTTGGATGTCAGCTCTTGATTTTGAATCGTAAATATTAAAATAGTTTCAGGCAATTTAAGGAATTTGATCCATAATTTTTAGAATTACAATTTTTTAAATATTGTTCTTGTAATTCGAAACGAGAAAAAATTTTCACTTCCTTTTCAAGATTTTTCTTTTAGAAATATAGTACCCAATGAAGTAGACTGCCTTATGTCGATCTATTTGAAAAATGAAATTAAAAAAGAAGTGAACATTTTATCCATTTATAATTCAAATATCCGAAAAAGAACTTTAATCACCAATGCCTGATTTACTTATTTTTTCTTATTGGTTTATTTGATAATTAATGGTATCGTTCTTTTCAAGTTTCTTTAAATCTAAATCGGTTCATATCTCAATCAAATATCATTTTTTTCAATTCAGAAATATTTAGTTAAAATTAGTTCATAGAATAAGACATTATATTCTAATATAAAAGGAATAAAACAAAAAATAAAAAGGCACTAACAGGTTATAATCTATTTCTTTGAATAATCTGTTTGTAAAAGAAAAATAAGGAAAATCAACTGTAAATTTTTTCCCATTTATAATTCAAAAAGCAGCATTAAAAAAACATATTAAAAATCTATATTTGTGATACTAAAAGTGTTTTTCAATAGTTGTTTTGTTTAAAAAAGTATATTACATCTGAATAAGGAATAAAAGTGTCTTTCAAAGTGAGAACTTTTTGTCTAACGATAAACGCAGAACAAGACACAAAACTATTGATTCCAATAAATCCTCATTTTTTTTTTGATATTTTGAAGACAGGCCAACTTACAAATTTCTTAATAGACAAAGGAAACGAAATTTTATAAAAAACTTCATTGCAAAATCTGTAAAAGGGAATCATAAAATCGATTTTACATTTTTTTTGAATTTATCAACAGATCGATAATTGTAAAAACTTATTTTTTACTCTTTAGTAATTTAACTTTTTGCTTTTCTTTTAATCTTTTCTTATTCTTGTTTATATTTGTATCTTTGTGAATTCAGGATGACAAAAGCAAATAACAAAAAAAAAGGAAACAAACCTAAAAAAGAAAAAAATCAGTCTGTGTCAAACAAAAGAACAGCAAACGCGAACCAAGAAGAAAAAGCAACAACAAACTGTCCGCCATTTGTGTTTCGTTTTCTTTTTTTTTTGCTTATGCTCTCGTATTACGCTTTAATGCTGGTCTACTTTAAATACGAAGAAGCTGGACTCTGTGGGGTTTATGGGTCCATAAATTTTTGGAGCATTGCTATTTTCATAGGCTCCTTTGGGATCTTGTTTGGATCACAATTTCTGACAAACACCTCTGCTTTACTTCAATTTTTGCCTAGCCTGATTTATTTCGCAGAACTTTTTTTTGTTCTTTATTTCAAAAAGCCTTTTTTTGGCTTTTTACCATACGACTTCTCTTTCGAAAATGTCAACTCTTGGATCGATTCAACTCATTTCGTTTGGGGGTTCTTTATTATACTGCTTGCTTTTAGTTGGTTTAAATCAATCAAATTCGTCGAATTTCTTTTTTCTTTCCTTTTTGTCTCAGGTTTAACGATTGTTTCTAAAATGTACACCCCCCATTATTGCCTTGACAAAAATGGTAATGAAATGGAATTAAATATTAATTTTTCTCATCGGTTTTGTAAGTTTTTTTTTCCTATCTTTTCCTTCTTTTGAATTTTCTGAATTTTTTTTTTTAAATTTTTTTGTCCATCTTTTCGAAAGCATTAAGAAGAAAAAAAAAATTTAAAAATATGATTACTTTATGGATCTTACTTACAAATTTAAAACAAACAATCCCCTTTCTACAGTTTCATTTTTCAAATCCCATTAAAATTAATCCCATCACTACATGGAAAATTTAAACACCGAAAATGAAAGTTAGCCAAAACTATACATTGGACTTCAGTTATACTTCTTTTATAAATTATTCTTTCAAAGTTATCATAATTTTATGTATTAAGAAAAGGATAGCAATTAAACTCATGAAAATCCGAATACCCCCCTTTTCAAAAATACCGAATTTTGAAAAAAACACCTATTTTTGGGATATTGTATTTTTTTAATGAAAAAAGTTGAAATGAATTAATTTTTGATTGAACATTAAGATTGAAAAAAGAATATATGTTAAAGCAATTTGCAGAAAACAACCGGGAATGTATATAAAAACTCAAACACAGAAACAAATAAAATGATAAAAAATATTCCAAAAACAGATAAAAAAACAGATTTTCAATTTAATTTAGCAATATCTTTTGATTGAAATATTTTGTGCTATTTTCAAATTGAAAAATATGTTTCCTTTTTAGACTATTAAAAAAATACTTGAAAATTATCTCTCCACTAAGTCAATTAAAAAATTCAAAAAATTTTACAATTAAAAATGAAAATAATATTACTGAAAAATTTCATTTTTTTTTCAATTCCTATTAATATCTATTAAAGTTGTAAACCTCATTGAAAATTGTTATGTATAATAATGTTTATTATATGAGTGTATTTTAAAAATACAAAATTTAGAGATTTTTTTGAAAAAAATTTTCCTTTGTACACTACAAGGAAAATTTAAATACCTAAAATTAAAGTTAGCCAAAACTATACATTGATTTCAGTTATACTTCTTTTTATAAATTATTTTTTCAAAGTTATCATAATTTTATGTAATAAAAATAGGATAGCTTTTAAACTCTTGAAAATCTGAATACCCCCCTTTTCAAAAATACCGACTTTTGAAAAAAACACCTATTTTTGGGTATTTTTATATTGGAAAAAGTTGAAATGAATTAATTTTTGATTGAACATTAAGATTGAAAAAAGAATATATGTTAAAGCAATTTGCAGAAAAAAAACCGGGAACGTATATAAAAAACTTAAACATGGAAAAAAAAAAAAATGATAAAAAATATTCCAAAAACAGATAAAAAATCAGTTTTTCAATTTAATTGAGCAATATCTTTTGATTGAAATATTTTGTACTATTTTCAAATTGAAAAATATGTTTCCTTTTATACTATTAAAAAAAATACTTGAAAATTATCTCTCTACTAAGTCAATTAAAAAATTCAAAAATTTTACAATTAAAAATGAAAAAAATATTACTGAAAAATTTCATTTTTTTTTCAATTCCTATTAATATCTATTAAAGTTGTAAACCTCATTGAAAATTGTTATGTATAAAAATATTTATTATATGAGTGTATTTCAAAAATACAAAATTTAGAGATTTTTTTTGAAAAAATTTTCCTTGTACACTACAAGGAAAATTTAAATACCGAAAAATTAAAGTTAGCCTAAACTATATATTGATTTCAGTTATACTTCTTTTATAAATTATTTTTTCAAAGTTATCATAATTTTAGGTAATAAAAAATAGGATAGCTTTTAAACTCTTGAAAATCTGAATTCCCCCTTTTCAAAAAATACCGACTTTTGAAAAAACACCTATTTTCAGGGTATTTTTTATATTGGAAAAAGTTGAAATGAATTAATTTTTGATTGAGCATTAAGATTGAAAAACGAATAAATGTTAAAGTAATTTGCAGAAAAAAACCGGGAACGTATATAAAAACTCAAACATGGAAAAAAAATAAAATGATAAAAAATATTCCAAAAACAGATAAAAAATCAGATTTTCAATTTAATTTAGCAATATCTTTTGATTGGAATGTTTTGGGCTATTTTCAAATTGAAAAATATGTTTCCTTTTTAGACCATTAAAAAAATACTTGAAAATAATTTCTCTACTAAGTCAATTAAAAAATTCAAAAATTTTACAATTAAAAATGAAAAAAATATTACTGAAAAATTTCATTTTTTTTTTCAATTCCTATTAATATCTATTAAAGTTGTAAACCTCATTGAAAATTGTTATGTATAAAAAATATTTATTATATGAGTGTATTTTAAAAATACAAAATTTAGAGATTTTTTTTGAAAAAATTTTCCTTGTACACTACAAGGAAAATTTAAATACCTAAAATTAAAGTTAGCCAAAACTATACATTGGATTTCAGTTATACTTCTTTTATAAGTTATTTTTTCAAAGTTATCATAATTTTATGTAATAAAAATAGGATAGCTTTTAAACTCATGAAGATCTGAATACCCCCCTTTTCAAAAAATACCGACTTTTGAAAAAAAACACCTATTTTCAGGGTATTTTTATATTGGAAAAAGTTGAAATGAATTAATTTTTGATTGAACATTAAGATTGAAAAAAGAATATATGTTAAAGCAATTTGCAGAAAAAATCGGGAACGTATATAAAAACTCAAACAGGGAAAAAAATAAAATGATAAAAAATATTCCAAAAACAGATAAAAAATCAGATTTTCAATTTAATTGAGCAATATCTTTTGATTGAAATATTTTGTACTATTTTCAAATTGAAAAATATGTTTCCTTTTAGACTAGTAAAAAAATACTTGAAAATTATCTCTCTGCTAAGTCAATTAAAAAAATTCAAAAATTTTACAATTAAAAATGAAAAAAATATTACTGAAAAATTTCATTTTTTTTTCAATTCCTATTAATATCTATTAAAGTTGTAAACATCATTGAAAATTGTTAAGTATAATAATGTTTATTATATGAGTGTATTTCAAAAATACAAAATTTAGAGATTTTTTTTTGAAAAAATTTTCCTTGTAGTGTAGTGTAGTGTAGTGTAGTGTACT